CTCGACGCACGTGTCGCCAGTTATCGGGCATACTTATCCAGAATTTGCCAAGTTACAGGTGAATTGCAGTGTAAATTGCCAACCATCAGGTGTACGTTTTAACACGTATGGTAGGGTGGAGAGGGGTTCATGACCTCTTCCCTTCCTTCTTTCCTCCCTGGATACGCGCCTGCTGTTTAATTCAACTAACGAAGTAACCTACCGCTTTGCTTTAAACTCTAGTAATCACAGAGCGTCAAAGGTCACAGCACTGCCGGAAGAGCTCTGGAGCGGCTGGGCGCGCCGACGCTAAGAGTCCGGATAGCTTCGTTGCTCCAGTGCTAGAGAGGCGAACCAGCCACGGTGAGGTAGGTAAAAAGAAAGACAATGATAATACTCTGGTTCGAATCTCACTAGTGCCAAAGCCGATGAGCTCACGGTGACACGGTGATTTATCCAGGTGACTAGAAATCAAATGACGTGACGTGTCGCTTCTATGAGCTATTTAGCCGATACGAAATCGGCAGGAAGAAGAAGCCGTGAAGCCAAACAAACATTCAATTGTTCTGGTTTAAAGCAGACGAATTCATCGAACAATTGAAGGTTTGTTTGGCTCCACGGCTTCTTCTTCCTGCCGATTTCGTATCGGCTAAATAGCTCATTGCTGGGACTATGTCGGATTACCCCGTTAAACGCCACAAGAACCAACGAAAGAACATCCAACTTATCAATTCCACAATTCGCATCTTAAAATAATTATGAGTCTACAGTATATCAGTACAGAGGAACATGCAGAGATAGCAGATAGACACACAGCAGGGAAAGGCTCGGCCGGCACACATGAGGCGAGACCCTTGACCCCCCGCGACGCCGCCACCCAAAATGAAATGAAGTTGCGTAGTTTGCCCTGCCGCGCGTCCTTTACCATGGCGAATCTCTCTCTGTCGCACACACACAGGCAGGGCAGGGCAGCACGCGCACACGTGCTGATAGCGGGGCGGCCGCCTCCACCGCGCCCCGGCCGCCGCCGGCCCCTGCCTGGGTACCCCACAGTGTGGCCCCCGCCGCAACAACGTCCCGCCAAAAGTGCTAGACCCGGGAGGATGGGGGGGG